AGATACCTCAGGGTAACCTGATTTGTTAAGGCATACATGAAGCTTTCCATGAGCAGAAGAGAAAGGAGAGCATCATGGGGTGTGGACAAGAGGCAGAAGGGGATAAGGAGATGGGTTGGTGGGAGAGAAAACTGGGCATCAGAATCTGGGGTGGGAAAACCTGAGGTGGAAAAGGAGGAAGCTGAGAAATAGACTGGATGAAGGAAGAACAGTTAGGTCCTAAGAGCTCTTAAGGGACAACTGTATGTCCCCATGGGCTCAAGATGTTTCGGGAAGAACAGGGAGTTAGGTAGCGAAGCTGCTTGTGCCTAAAGCACCTAGGCCCACTGCTCCTGCACGAGCCCTGGGAGCAAGATGGAGCTCAGCTGCAGAGCCAGCCCCCATCCCTGCTGCCAGGGGGATGGGCAGCCTGCACGCCAGGCTCAAAGTGGCGGTGGGCACGGGGGTCTGTAAGGAAGGTTCTTTCGGTGAAAAGAAATCGTGGCCTGAGTAATGCCTACCTTGCAAGAAAACTCCTGCAATACAATGGCATGGGAGGTAGGCAGTATGGCCCAAGGAAGGAAGGTTTCCATGCATATTGCAGCCTTTGGGTAGCAGAGACTCCTGGCCCTGTGGGCAGACACGTTCTGTCCTTCATCTCCATCCCACATGGATTTTTGGAGATCAAAGGTAAGGCTCTCTGCTGCTGTAATGCTATTGTTGTCAATCGAGTTGTGCCACAGGGAAGCTGGTGCTCTCCTCTTAATTACAGTAGGTATTAAACTTGAGTCTTCAAGGTTGAAATGCTTACCTTTGGCCTGTGCAGGATCTAGAGATCACTTAAATCTCACTTAAACCCTCAAAGTAGTTCTTTAAATGTTGTTGCCAAGGCTTAGTGCTGGCTCTTTGCATGGGGAAAATGTCTCCACTGGACAGTTGCCTGTAGGCTGCACGCGGGGTAATCAGCCACCCTAATTGCTCCTGGTGATCTTCAGCATTGACGTTCTGGTGGTGAAGTCAATAGTTCCTAGTGCTGGGTCATCAGCTGCTTCCCTCTGGGTCACAGTCCAGTGACTCTCCCAGCAATATACTGAACCATGTTTGTGCAGAAAAAGTCTGCAATAAAATGTGCAAGAAACTGCAAAGAACCCCCTGATTAATGAGATCTGCAAGTCATTCTTTGAGGCTGTGCCGGAACCTGGTTATTGCTTAATAGAGTATGTGCAGTGGAGCTTGGTTTATGGGGTAGGAGCATGCTAAAAGCAGGAGGGCTCCTGGCAGCTCATTTAAGCACAATGTTTGGGTGCTCCCCCAAGGTGGAGATATCAGTGGAGGTTCACCCCACATGGGTTGTACTGGTGCTTCCAGCCAGCACTGGTGCTCTGATCAAAAATGCCCATGTTGGATCATCCTTGGCTCTTCCCTCATTAGGGCTTTCTGATGGGTTCATTAGGGCTTTGGCTGCCCCTCCAAGCTGTTCCTGGCTGGACCCATGAGACTGCATTTGCCTTCCCCCTCACCCCCAGTTAATCTTTTTCTGCACAGTGTTTGTCTAAAATATTTCTAGTTATCCTTTTTCTGGCATGACTTTGAAACTCTGCAGATACTGTTTCCCTTCTGCTTGAGCTCTGGGACATAGAGAAATCAGGGCTTCTTTCCCAGCAGCTACTGTCTTCTCATCTTTTGCCTCCTCTGTGTGGTTTGGTGACAATTAAATTCACTGCCATTTTACAGCATCTCTGCAGAAGCCATGAATCCTCCTGTAAGATTTGCCCGTACCACCTCCCAGCATGGCCTTTCCCAGACCTTATCCACCTGTGCTTCCCTTAACTTCTCTCCTGGTTCACAACCAAACCGCAGCAGTGTTGAACTGGGACAGCCATGTCCCCGAGCTGCTGTAGGATATACAGCTCCATCACTGCCTGCACGGTCAACAGCTCTGCCCCAGCAGGACTCAGACCCCTCACCCTCCTTTTCTCTCTTGTGTATTGTCTGTGGTAGTTTATTTTAAACGCTGGGATCGTGCTACCTCCAGAAGTTAATAATCCTCATTTAGGCTACGAGGGCTGCATGTCCCACCCTGGCAATAAGCTAACCTCGCTGTGTTAGGAGTGCCATTAATGCTGGTGGAGGGCAGTGGATCTGACAGCTGTAGGGCTGGAGGTCAGGTTCACTGTGGCGCACATCTCAGATTTTTCAGTGCAATAGGCTTTGATAACATTAAATGGAGTGAAGAGCTTCTCTCTTACCCAGATTCTGTTCCTTTTTTCTTGCCTTTTTAAATTAAGGCAATGCAGTGTTGTGTTGTAAGAACGATCTATTCTTCTACTGACCCATTTCAGTAAAAGTTCAGCCCATCTAGAGCATGTGCTGCTTTTGAAGATGGAAAGAAATTCATAGATATTAAGGGCACTATGATCAGCTCATCTCCCCTCATGCCTAACACAGCCCAGAGAATTCCCCCAGGACTCTCCTCTTGAGCCCAGCACTCTGCAGCTGGATGACACCTTGGCTTTTTGTGTGATTACCCAGAATCATCTCGGCGTCTTGTTCAATCACTTCTCCATCATCAGTAGGATGCGAGACACTTGCTGTGGGAGACAGCAGCCTGGTTTTGGCCCACCATGCCACTAGCACGCTGAAAATACTGGCTCTTCAACCTGCCCCCTGCACGCTTGCAGCATCTGTGCTTTTTCAGACCTTGGTTGAGGGAGAATGAGGGCAGTGAGAGTGTGCTGAGACAGGAGCTGGGAGTGCTGCCGACATCTTTCCTTTTATTCCTTCCCTTTGAGGACCTGGGGTTGCCTATCTCAGTGGGGGCTATGGACCCAGGGGAGCTTTCAGGTCAGCTCCAGATGCTCAGCAGTGGATGAAGGGGAAGACATTTGTGCAGCTCAGCTAAACCAGCCCTGTCTCCTTCCAAGTTGCTGACAGAAGAGTTGCCTCCAGAAGGCAATTAAAGGCACCTAAATGAGCTTCCTGCTGCTAATCACCATCCAAAGGACCTGTCTCCTTCCTCAGATGGAGACAACTGCCTTTACCTTCTCAGACACCCCAAGGGGCCTTGTTCTGCAATAGAAGTGATTTATGGCTCTCAGGAGGGTGCACACCCTGCAGAGGAGGGTAGTTTTCTTGTGAGCTGACTTAAAAATCATTTTTCCCCATTTGTTCCACAAATGAAATGAAACAGCTCCATCTGAGGACTTGCAGAAAGACTTGTTTCCATCAAGTCCTTGGAAATGCTGTCATGTTTCATTCCAGGTTTGAAACTTTTCCGCTACCAAAAAAAATTTCAGAAACTGCAGTTTTCTCCCTTCCTCCCGCCTGAAGCTGTCTGGGTTTCCCTGGAGCAGGAGTGATCAATTCAGGCCCACCTTGTCAATGGCCATCATCCCTAGCCCGTTCTAAGATATGGATATCTTAAAGATACTTAAGTAATCTAGGTGCTGTTATTTTCAAAAGTCACCAAGGCTTCTGTGTTGCAGAGATCATGCTTCTCAGTTTTGGAGCATGATGATTTCAGACAGTATCTTCTAAACTTCTGGCCTTTTGAGTCTTAATGTAATCACTCAAAAGGAAAATACTCCACAGCATTAGTCTTATTTGCTGGCCATATTGTGTCATCTTGTTGCATGGTCCTAATAGAGTGATCTGATGACAGCCCACTTCTTCGATACTGCCCATAAGAAATAGGATGGTTTATATTTCTAGGAGAGCCTTTGATTTGGGAGTTTAGCCTTTGTACAGCTGTGCAGGTTTGACGTCTTGGTCACAGAATGTTAGGGCTGTTCACTTCCTTAATTTTTGGCATTTACTACAGAGGTTTTATGCCTTTCTTTTATATGAGATCAAATGCTAATAGCAGTTTTGTGAGTGTTTCCAGCTCTGTATCCACATATGCAGTTTGGGACTTGGCTGGCTGCCCCATCCACAGTGGGTGTTAGAGCCACCCGTACCAGCCTGGGGAGCTAGCACTGATTTCTACTCGTGCTCTCGCTTTAAGCAGGATTGGAAATGTATTCGGAGGCTGCCCAAATAATAAGACTATCTGGTGTATCTAGAGAGAAGATGATGATCTATTTGCATCATGTTAGTACATAAATCCAGCTCCCCTTAAGGTGCTTAGGCACATTTGGATAATGACCTGGAACAACCTAGGTAGCAGGAGGTTACATGTACCTGTCACGTCAGCCTCTGTGAGCATGTGAGATTGCCAGCCAGCAGGCAAAAGCAGCCAATTACACCATGCTCAGAAGCGTTTCATTCTCTCTTTTCCATCCACCCAGGACCACAAAGCGAATCCTGCTGTAAAGACCTCTACCTCCTGCTGGCATCACCTCCTGTCTGAGGAGATAGTGTTTAAAGTGCCCTCAATATTTGCAGCGCTGTTTTTCTGCCAGTGAAGGCCATGCTGTCCTCTGCAGTGGACTGTACTGAGCCACCCAACGTGTGGGGACAATGTGTGTCAGTGCAGTGGGTGATGAGGAGGTGCTGGGGGCTTGTGGGCTCTGTTTTTACTGCTGATGAGGGGGGAGTTGCCTCATCTTTATGCTTTAGTACCCCATATTTTTTTTTCTCCTCTCTACTTGTCAGGCTAGGAAATGGTTCCTGCTGGCTGCAACGCACAGGGGACAGTTCTCACCATTTCTGGGCACTCCCCTTGGGTAACACTGAAAAGCAAGATTCAGTATGTTTATGTGTGTGCCTGTGTGTCCATGCACATGTATTTTGGGAGGGAATTGAGGAAGCATCCTAGCAGATGTCAACCAGCTCTCATACCAAATGTTCTTAAATCCCTGCTTCCCTCCTCCTTTTTGCTTCTCCCCTGTTGCTCTGGCTCAAGGAGTTTTTGATATTTCCAGCTGAGATTTCATGCCTTTCTTTTATTGTGGGGACCAGGGGGGGGCAGCCAAAACTGCAGCGTTAATTGCTTCCCAATAAAAGCTAGCCTGGAGCAAGAGCTGAAGGAAAGCACAGGGGAGATTTTCCTTGGTTTAATGATAACTTATCCCTGTCACAGCTCAAATGGTGCTTTTCTCCAGTGCATCAAACCCTTCCCCTTCCACTGTGCTTGCATTATATTTCTCCTCTTCAACATATTCATCTTCATGCCCTTCTCTCAATGCATTGTCTTCATGGTCCTGTTCTTCCTCATTCACATCTTCACCAGCCTGCCCATAGGTGTTCACCCCCTGCTTGCAGAAGGGACATGTCTTCTTCCCAGGCTGGGTATTGAACCAGGTGTCAATGCAGGCACTGTGATAAGCATGGGAACAGGACAGGATCTTCAGGCAATCCCCTTCCTTGTACTCTGCCATGCAGATCACACAGGTCTCGTATTTGTCTCCCTGCTTGTATGTGTGCAGCTTTATCTTGCAAGCCCTCTTGTACCAGCTTAAGCCAACCATAACTGAGATAGTGGCAATAATGACGTAGAATATGTCCCTGAAATCTTGCATGGTGAAAGTTTCCTGCAGCATTTTAACGTTGTCTTGACAAGGACTCAAATAGTATTTGGGTGGTAGAAGTCTGATGTATGCCCTCTTCTCGCATTGCAAAGTCCTTTGCAAGTGGAGGGAGACTGACTGTCCGGTAAAGAGTGATGGTATTTTAATCAGCTGCTGGATTTCTTTGTCATCAGCCATCATGGTAATCAGTTGCTCTGAATCCACATTGTACACAACAGCGGTTTGGTATCCAGCCTGCTGGGCGTGAAGGACCTTCTTGACAAAAGAGCAGTCATACCCCTGTATGAGTGCAATATACATCTCGGAGGCCTTTCTTAGTGCTGGAGGATTCTCTATAGCATGGCAAGCATTTGGTGGTATCACCCTCGTTAAATACCCTGTCAGCCCTTCTGCCGGGAGTCGTGGCCCAAAGCATGCAGGCAGGGCTTTATAAGCAACACACTTGGAGCTGTCATTGTAAGCCACGTAACCAAAGACTTCTGCAAAAGCAGTGTTGTAGAAGGCAGTGGCAACCACAAAGTGAAGAAGTTGGAGCCGAAGATTCATGCTGAATGCAGCTGGGTAGCTCAGAATACAAATTTCCAGGCTGGTCCCAAAAGGAAAAGTGTAAGAGACAGTCACAGAGGCACTATCCCACCCAGGTTTTATCACTATGCCATGACTTGGAGCCACAACAGGATGGAGATCAAAACCTGTTTCTGCCCTAGAGGTTTCTGCAGGTTTTCTGTAGGCTTGGAGGTTCCAGGATAGAACTTCTCTCTTTTGTTGTCTCCAGCTGCTAAGCAACACCCTTACATCATCTCTGCAGATCTGTGACATCACCCAGTGACTGTTTCCCAAGGCTGGGTCATGTAACATTACTGCCAACGTGCTTAAACTTCTTCTCCCCTATTCCTTTTTGGTCTGCTCCATGCACATAGCTTCTAGTTTCATCTCCCTCTGGGTACCGATAGGATGCCAACTTCATTCTGCTAATGATGTGCAGGCAGGATAAATGAGCCTCCCCATCAGTTATGTGCCCATTGCAGATTGGAATGCTTCATGCTGGTGGCCAAAGCAATTCCTGGAAAACATGGCAGAGTGGGAACGAGCCATTAGCCTCTGTCTGCTGTTGGGGGGGGGTCGTGTGGCAACTTGGATTGGTCTGGTGAACACGCACTTCTTCCTTAAAATTGTGGTCTTTGAACCAATACCAAGCCAAATAAATTGCTTAGGGTCAAAGGGGTTTCTGTCATTTGAAATAAGTCAAACAGTAACTGTCAGTCCAAAAGGCAGCTAGCAGAATTTGAAAGTTTCTGTTTGCGTGTGTGGCCTCACTCTGCCATCACCCAAACTTCTGAGAGGGCAGATCCACCTTCAAGGTCCCTGAGTGAGCAGCTAGATTTGCTGAAGAGGCTGATAAACCTGGGCTCTTGCTGGGGCTGATTTTGTTGGACTCCTGTCCTACCACAGTGAGAGTGGGTGGTGGATGAGCTTGGGAGAGCTACCATTTTGTATTGGGGCTTTTCACCTTATTTACTTTAAAACCTCAGCTGCTGGAAATCAAATGGCTGAAAAAAGACTTTAGCTTCTAGCTATAAAAACTGATTTTAAAATTCTGGTTATGGTGAAAAAGCTGAAAAAGAAGGGGAAAGCATAAGGCACAAATGTTGTCCCTCCCTCCCAGACTGACAGCAGAAGCTCCCATCTTTCAGGCAATTCCCAACTCATATGGTGACTGCTCGGTGCCCAGAGGAACATCAGCCTGATGGGATGCGATAGCTCTCCTGGCTGTCAGAACGAACTAGGTCTGAATATGCAGTGAACCCAGGTCAGCTCGGAACCACAAATCCCTAAAAACCTGTACCTTTTAACAAACAGCCCTTTTCTATTTAATGATCCACTTGAGAGCAGCCCTGTGGTTTCCAGTGCAGTTGTGCTGGACCTATAGTTAAAAAATCACTTGTGTACTAGGCAACTGATTTGTTACTAGCCCCCTTGGGCTCTTCTTGAGACAGATTTCACTGGGAAAAGAGCTACAGAAAATGTCAGCAGACAGTGTGTGTGTGTGTGTGTGCCAGAGACTCCCAGCAGCTGTGATTTCAAATTGATTTTATTTTCCCCTCATCTAAAGAGTTTTACACTTGCAGGGAGACATTTTGATGCTTTTTTTAAAAAAAAAAAAAAAAGAAAAAAAAACCACCAAGGAAAAGGTTTGGGGAGGGGGGAGAAGCCAAATGCTTTCTAGTAGAATGAGAGATAAAGAAGAAAACGGAGGTACACTGGGAGACCTTTTTGAGAGTGCATTTCTGGCTTGGTCTTATGCTTCTTGTGATGGCATCCATCATCCTAGTGTTCTTTAAAATCTTTGCCCCTTTACTTGCACTCAACGCTCTACTTCTGCCTCCAGATCAAAGCTTTATGTACTGCCAGAGATCTGCTGCTTGCATAAGGGGTAGGTCTGTCTTTGGGGCTGGACAAGGAGCCATGTGTCTGTGTGAGCTGTGACAGATGTGGGACCAAGGAACGATCCCCTTTGTATTCTGTGTGCTGTTATCTCCTGGCTGCTCCAGCACCACCTCTTATATCCTAGAATCGGCAAGGCAGGAGTGAGCAGCTATCCTGGCTTGCTCACCAAAACCCTTGGATAAAAGGAGAAATCAGGTGTTTGCAGTCTCCAACTTGGATCTCAGTAACTCTTAGCAGTAACCCAGAGAGATGTGGGCAAAAGGACAAATCTTCAAGAGAGTTTGGAGGGCAAGGAGGAGGGGAATGGGGTACAGAAAAGGCTCTGGGGAGTGAGGAAAAGCTGAAGTCTGGGTGGGGAGCAGGATACCCATATCCCACCCACAGGCAGTATGAGATAGGAAACCCTAGTCCTTAGCCTCCTTCGAAATCCCTGAATGCTTTTGCAGAAGGAAGGAGAAGAGGGCTGAAGAAGGGCTTTGGCCAAGATGGTCTTTGCTCAAAGAGCCAAAGTGGTGCCCTGTCCGCTCTGGTTCCCTCCCTGCTTTCCATTTGCATCACTGCTGTCTGCCTCCTCCATCATCAGTGCCCTGGAGGCGTTGGCTCCCGCTGGCTGAGGTTAAGCCAAGCATCCCGCCCTGGTGTGGGGCTGTGCCAGGCTGCCTCCAGCCCCATGCTGCATTCATTATAGCCAGCACTGTACTGTCCTCCTCATCCTGCCCTACCCCTGTTATATTCATGTGTTAAATACATTGCAGATGCTCCTGGACGTATTCTTGACCTATTTTCTCCGGAGTCCCTGCAATCTCCTTTGTCAGAATAATTGCAATTTATTTAAATGTCAACAAGCCACACGTGGGAGACAGCAGTTGTGTGCACGAGCAGAGCAGTTATGGGGAACAGGTCCCATTTTACCACTTGAACAAAGATCCAAGCTAGAAGAAAGGAAAAGACCATTTACCTCTATTAACTGATCACTTACCCCACCATTCCCAAAGTCCCTGTGTTCCTTTATACTTCTTCTTTGGGCTAACACTTAGTGCAGGAGCTGGGATATAAAACCAGCTCCTCCTTTTGCTTGTATTCTACAGAAGCATCTGCTCGATCCAGAGGAATTTAATGCTGATTTAGACCCACATAACTGCTAGCAAAATCTAACCCTGGTCCTGCCCAAACAGCTTAAACTGTAACAGAGGTGCAGGGGAGACTGACTTATGTGGACATCATTACAACTCCAACAAAACACGCATTACAGGCTCCAGATCCAGCACTGATTTGACTTAGGGAATAAGTCCAGATGGCTTTTTCCCCTCTGAGGTTTTTGCAGCATGAAAAGAGCAGCCTGGCAGTGGGATGATGTGAGTTTGTATATAATCAAACTTCTTGTCCTTTATCTGCATTAGTCAGTGTTTCTGGTCCACAGGCAGTGGTGTTGCACAGACACACAACAGCCTTTCCCTGCCCTCAACAGCCAAAGGTGAGGAGCAGAAAAAGCCAATGGGGGGTTAAATGCTCAAGACATCTTGGCAGGTATCCCTGGTTCTAGCTCGGTGCCCTTCTTATCAGGGCATGCTGCTCCTTTGGGGTCATGCTATAGGATTAGTGAGGACTAGGCTCCCGGAGCTGAACTACTAGTGATTTGCTGTGAAGGAAGATCTGGGGCCATCTAGTGACCTTCCAGTGAAAACCTTGGTGCTTCCAGTGCTCCCAGTTGCTCTTAAAAAAAAAAAAAAAAAAAAAAGAAAAAAGATATATGGGACACGCTTACCTCCCTCCTGCTGACTGAGCAAGTCCCCAGCTCTGCAGCAAGCCAGCTGGAAGGCAGACCTGCATCCTTTTGTTAATGATTTTTTTTTTTTTTTTTTTTTTTTTTTTGCTAGGAGCTGATTTAGAAACTGGTGCATGTAACCACCTCCTTTCATCTAGGATGAAAGGAAAGGATGACCCATGTCTTTTCAGAATAGATAGCTGAAACAGTCAGAGTCACCACCCAAAATGCAAGCTGGGCAGATGAGAAATGGAGTCATGCGCGCAGAGAGGTTTTGTGCCTTGCTCTTTACCACTATGGGAGAGGGATGGAGAGCAGGTTTGTGGGAGCTCTGCAAGCCCTGCTGTGTGCACTGTCCCCTACACATGTTTCGGCACCGCGTGCTCCTGTGCCCTACCAGGTGCTTCTCCTGGATTTCCCAGGGGTCCAGGCAATCTCTCCTCTGTTATTACCATGTACAAGCATGATAATCTGGGCCCTAATGCACACAGAGGATTATAAAGCAGTGATTTATGGACCTGCTACAAAAGTACCCATAATCTGCTAATGCCCACAATTAAAAAAGGCCGTTGAGCAAATCTGGGCCATTGCAACTTAGTACCCATGTCTGGAAATGGATTCCAGTTCCAGCTTTTTTCTTTGCAACGGAGGGAGACATCTTCTTTATTAGATATTGGTGCTGGAAATAATATCTCGCCTTTTCTAGTTTTGGCAAAATGCCCTGCAAACCTTGGACATAAAGCAAAAACATCTCAATTTAGCAGATTTTTTGTTCTTTTTAATTATCTGCATGCAAAAAAATAATGTAGAGAATTGTGCTTGTTTCTTCAACCTAGGTTTTGTGGTAAAAATTAGGTAGTAACTGTGGTAATTAGCTCCTTTGTTGGAATAAGCCTGCCTGGAGGCTTTTGGGAGGGAGAGCTTAAGAAACAGAGTAAGAGGAGGAACCTTCAGGACGAGCTGTCCAGGGGCTTGGCAAAAGCTACCTGCTGCTTCTGTTCTGTGGCTGTGGCCCTCAAAAATTTTCTAGTGTGAAGCAGACCTGGATGTGATCAGCTGCCCAAACTGCGCAGAGCCAAGGATATGTCTTCAGTATTCCGTTTGTCCTTCCAGATTTCTGTATGGTTTCTTTAATCCTGTGCTGTGCTCATGCTTCTTGAGAGACATTGGCTGGAGCTTGAATTTGTAGGGAGAGTGGAAGACAGAGCTGGTGGGAGTGTGTATGGGAAGGGTCTTGATTTTCCAGGAGGGAGTTTGGGAGAGCCTTTCTGGGTTACTCCCGCTTGCCGTTGTGTGCACCAAGGGGGATCAACACTACTGTGGTCACACTGTG